TAACATCTGTGCCCATCTTCCTCCACTTTATATGGGATGCCGCCACAGCATGGCTTGCCAAGCAGTGCGTCGGTGTGCGCCCGGGATCCGAACCGGCGAACCCCGGGCCACCGCAGCGGAGCGCGCGCACTTAACTGCTTACGCGACTGGGCCGGCCCCAGGGTCATGCCGTTTTTAACACCCTGCACTGTACCCAGTGTTTTAATGTATTGTATAAAAGAGTGGGACTCAGGCCCTAAAAGAAAACAGTCAGTGGCAGATTAGTATTGTTTTTCAACCTGAAATGTAATTCGTAGAACTTAGTGGCATTGTACGTTCCGTGTGGTGATGACATGGTCGCGTGCCGATGGGCAGTGAGTAACACTCATCCTGGGAGAGCCTTTTGGTGTGTGGTGTGGCTGTGTTAAGGGGCAGCGTTTTTCTGCAGGGGTTTTCTCCAACCCCAGTCTTGTGGGTGTCAGTCTGGGTTTGCACGGGTCAGCTTATTGTAGCTCTCATTTTATCTTCTGGTTATTTCTTAGAGCAAAACCTCAGAAGCCCTTGCCAAACTCATGTCTCTCCAAGCCACAGAAGCCACTGTCGTGACCCTTGGCGAGGACAATTTAATCATCAGGTGGGTTATCTTCATCAATCGTCGTTGATCAGTTTATATCAATCTGTGTAATAAGCATGGAACACCCATTGTGTATGTGTGACATTACACTAGACGTGTGAGGGTGGCAAAGACATTTACAGTGAGGTCCCTCCTCTTAATCCAGTTAAGTAAACAAGGCTTTTAAATACTAAAAGATAAGTAGAAGTTCAGGGTGGTGAATATGTGCTAAGTGACAGATGAGAGGTACAGACGACTAGTATTCAAGAATTTAGGAGAGGAAGGCTAGTGGTGGTCAGGAAAGGCCTCACAGGGAACGTGGAATTGATAGCTGCACCCTCCTTGCAAGATTGGGAGGACTCACACAGGCTGAGAGAGAAGGGCTTCAACTTGCCAAGGAATAAAAATGGGAGTAGTATTGTTCTTCATAAGGTTGGCAGATTTTAAAAATAGTCATAATAATAATAATTATTATAATAATTAATTATATACATATTATATTATACATATAATATTATTATTATTATTATTATTATTATTATTATTATTATTATTATTATTATTGCTGGAACCCACATAGCATTTACTGTTTGCCAGACACTATTCTAATCTCTTAGTATTTAACCAAAAAAAAAAAAATTCATGAAGAAAGGACTGTTATTACCCTTATTTTACAGATGAGAAAAATGAGGTTCAGAGAGGCTAAGCAACTGGCCCAAGGTCACACAGGTATTATTAAGTAGTGGAATTGGGATATAACGCATGCTCTTGGTTCCAAAGTCTATGTTCTTTACCTTTCCATATACTGACTCTTAAAGCATATTTAAAGATATGGACACTTTTACAAATTAAGGCGTCTGTATTTCCCTGGTCAGCCTCTCTTTCATATTCTAGGCAGTGGTTATTTCAGGCTTTATTCCTGAAATCTCTCTCCAGCCCCACCACTTTCCCCTTTAGCCTGTGCTCTCACTTCTAACTGCTGAATATAGAAGCCCTGGCGCCGGAATGGAAATCCATCAGTTTCCTGTCATTCGACTACAAAGCTAGCCTTCCCCCACTGCACCCTCCCTCCCTTCTGCCCTGGTGGAAGAAGAGTCGTCTCTGCCCCTAGACTTCTGCTCAGGAACTCCCTCTGTTGATTTCTCCTTGATCTTCAGTGTCTTTGTTTTCACTGATTCTCACCATCCAGTATGAGGTATATTCCAAACTCTCCCATTGTTAAAACCACTGTCCTGTGCCCCACTCCCATTGTGCGCCTGCCCGCCATCACACTGTTGCCAGTGCCAATTCACTAAATGTGTCATGCAAGAGACTGGGCCCTCTGAGGGCTGGGGCAGGTCCCTTGCTTCCCAGTGGGGCACTCAGCAAGCCTCTGTTCAGCACATGAACCAACGACTGAGATGTGAATGAATGAAAGTTAGTGAGGCACAGGCTCACCACAGCACAGCAGCACTGGGGTTGCCTGGATGCTGGCTTTTGAGTAATAATCAGAATTATGGTAGTGATAGCTGAGATTTGAGAACTTACTGTGTACAAGGTACACTACTCAGAACTTTGCATAAATTATCTGATTTAACCTTGATAACTACCCTGTGAGGTAGGTGCCATCGTGATCCCCCATTTCATTAGGAAGAACCTAAAGCTCAGTGAACTAACTAACCCAAAGTCCATGACAGGTGAGTGGCAGAGCTGGGACTGGAGCCCTGGAGACACAGAGCCACTCTCTCTCATCCGCTAAACTGTCTCCCAGACAGGAGGACCCCGTGTGACAAAGCAGTTGGCACTTGTGGACTTCCACACGAGCTTGACTGCTTCAGTGGCTCTACACTAGTTACACACCTTGGCTGCTTTATTTTCTTGTAAATGAATGACATGAGAGTTTCTGAGATGTGAAAACATTCAGATGGAGAGTAAAGCCGTGGGTGCCTACATTTACTCTCTGCCTTTCATGCGGAAGTGCTTCTGATAGCCCTAGTGACAATCGCGTGGACTGCTCCCTTGATTTGAATGCAAGGAGACATGCGTCTTTGCCAGAAGATGCAAGCCAGGTGAAATGCTGAAGGAGTGTGGGGCTACGCCTCTCATAACTCAGTTCTTTTCCAAACATAGTGATTAATTTTTGGTTGTGGACACACTATGGGCCCGACTACTGACGTCATAACGTTTTTTAAGCTACGGACCAGAGTTCATTCTAGTTTGCCCCTGTGGGCTGTGTGCTTGGAGTGTGTCAGATAACGCCTGTGTTGCACAGTTCATGTCTGTCAAACAGGAGTGGTCATTCCTAGCTCGCCTTCCTGACAGGGTGCTCTGGACTGCTAGGAGGAGATGCGGCCCAGGGTCATAGCCTGCTCTCCCATGGCCAAAGCTGTTCACTCTGCCCCTCCTGAGGAGCTTGACATCCTATAACATGAGGTGTGCTGGGTGCTAGGGCCCCCTAGTCAACCTCTGCCTCCTGCAGAGCCCTCCCAAGTCTGGGCCTCTGCAGGTGTGGACAGGTCTGTGGCACCTTCTGAAGGCCACTGGAGTTTCCCACCTCAGCTGGCTCCTTTGAGAGAGACCTGGGCCTGTCCCTCTGCTGGGGACACGTGTCCTTTCTCTCCACCCCAAGTCTTGGGTGCTGGGAGCGTCTGCGTGGATGGTCAGTCAGGCATGTGATAATTTCTTCCCAGCTGCTGCTTGCTGTCTCCTTCGTGGACTTGCTGCGCTCTCCTCATTCCTTAAGTATCAATGATTCTTGGGGTCTCAGTGTTGGCCCTGTTGTCCTGGTGTGTTATAGACTGTTGCTGGGACATCTCATCTCCCCCATGTCTTCTTCTCAAACCTGCCTCACATCTCAGGATTCACCTGCCTATTGGAATCTTTCTCTTGGTTAGCTCACGAAGACTCCAAGTCAACCTGTCTGAGTTCTTGTCATCTCCCCTCCGTGCCTCCCCATCCCCCGGATTCTTCCTCTCTTCCCTGCTGCCCATCTGTCTCAGTGGATGGCGCCATCACACACCGGCCCCCGAGGCAGAGGCCTGGGTGTTCTCTCTGGCTCCTTCCCTTCCTTCATCCACACATCCGGTCTCCATCCTCTGGAATCTTGCTCTACAACCTCTGTGGCCTCATCTATTGCCCCCTCCCACTGCCACCACACTTGTTCAGGCTACCACTGTCTCTCCCCTGAAGCATGGCAACAGTCTCCTCATTGGCCTCTGGCTTCCAGCCTTGTCTCCTTCCAAATATTTTTCCACGTTTAAACCAGTGATGTCTTGGAGCACTGATCTGATTGTATTACTCTGTAGCTGAAAATCCTCCAGCAATTCTCTGGTGTCCTTAGGGTAAAGTCTGCATTCCTTAACACATGAGCCTTGGTGTCTGCCCCTGTGTGCCTCTCAACCTGCAGTTCCTCCATCTCATTCCAGCCCCACTTCCCCTAGCAGTTCCCAGAAAGAGGCTCTCTCCTTCCTCCAGGGCCCTGCACACGTTGTCCTCCCCCCGAACGCCTTTCTATCTCCCCCTTCGCCTGGCTCCTTGTCCTTCAGGTCTCAGCCTGGGAATCACATCCTCCAGAAGCCTTTCCTGTCCCCCAGGGCTGGCTCACTTGTCACTCTTCAGTGCTCTCAGAGCACGAGATGCCTCCAGTCCCCCGGGACATAAACGTGGCAGGTGCTCAGATACTTACTAGTTGAATGAATGAAACGACTGTCAAATGTTAAAGAAATAAATTACACACATGCCTATGCTTGACATTAAAAGGCCTGCACAGCTTGGTCCCCAGTCTCCCCCATTGAAGTCTTCTGTTTCTTATAATTGGGAAAACAGAATTACAGGTTTTATCTAGGCCAGTTGCCATGCCGTTACAAGTTTTTTCTTTTTCTTTTTTTTTTTTTAACTTTGTGTTAGATGAGGAAGGAGAGTAGAGAAGCGGGGACAGGTGAGGTAAACAGACTGCCTGCAGAGACTCAAAGCTGAAGAAATGCTGGGGAAAAAAACCGTCTTTCAATTAAGTGTGCTCCCACAGCTCAGCTTTTTTTGGCAGTCATTAGCTTCTGAAGAAGAAGTGCTACTGGGAATTCACCAGAAGGAGCGACCTTAACCCCCATAAAGGGCTGTTCACCTTAAATTAAGCAGTTTAGAGTTAGAAAGATGTGGTTAATTCAGATCAAAGGGGAAAGTCCAAGTTAGATTAAGCAGAGATTAGCATTACTAAAGATTTCTTAGAAAGGCACCCAATTGGACGTTTGTGCCAATTTCTGTAAGTATCACCATATGAGCGGACATTTTAAAGCTTGGTAGTTAGGTTCTGGGGAAGGAGACAGTTCTGCCTATTCGCCCTGTAAGCCTCCTTTCTAGGGTGAGCAGGTGTCCTCCCCCTGACCCGGGCTTCTCGTGCCAAGTGGAGCCTCTGTGGGATGAAGAAGTCCTCCTCAGAAGGGCAGGGCCGGGATATCTCTGTCACCGGAAGCCTTTAAAGAGAAGCAGAGAATAGTCTTGCATTGTAGAGTTCCTCCGCTTTTCCTTGTTTACCACCACACAGATTCACACGTGACTGTTCAGCAGTCAGGACTTTAGTCTGCCACCCTTCTTGCCTGTAAAGGTTCTCCTTTTCAGCACTCCTTTTATGTTATTATGCTTGTTTTGAACTTCTATACATGTGTCTGTTTTTAGCTACTAGGCTGTAGACCCCCTGAGGGGAAGGCTCCCCTTTGTCCTGTTCTTACCCCAGCCCCACAGTGCTTGTTACACTGAGGCCAGTCGGTAGTGACAGCGTCTGTTGGGTGACAGTGACAGTCGCCAGCATTCCCTGGGTGCTTACTACACGTCAGGCACTGTGCTAAGCACTTTACACGCACCGTCTCAGTGAATCCTGGGAACAAATCGCCGTTGTAGAAAGGAGGAGGCTGTGGCTTTGAACAGGATTTGACCCAGATCACACCACTGCCCTGTGACTCTTGCCAGCACCCTAACAAGGACTCTGAGCCCCCCGTCAGGGCCATGTCTGCCTGGCTCTCCACTGTGTCCCCAGCGCCTGGTGCACACAGCGGCACATGGGGCACTTGGGCAATCTCAGGGTGGGCTTCGTCTGCTCGGGCAGCCTGCGTTCATCGGCACGGCCAGAGCAGTGTGTGCTCACAGCCTCGCAGGGGGTGGCGGCGTGGTGGGTGGAGCTGGCCTTTGTACACAACAGGCCATTGAGTCCTCACTGCGCAGAAGATGCCCCTGAACAGATTTTTATCTAGAAAATAGTGATGTAAATGTGTTTATCTAGAAAATAGAGATGTACAGACATCTCTGTCTGTACATGCTGCTTCCTAAGTTTTATACATTTACACATAGCAACATTGAAAGAAATAGGCATGGATGTTCAATTTTGTGCCTTTCTAAAAAATCTTCAGGCTTTTGCTCAAGTGGGAGTGAGTATAACTCACCTCATTTGGTTTTGGGGAGATTCACTGAGATAAAACATGTAAAAATCTAGCACAGTGCCTATACTCAGTAAATGTCTATTTTTCCATCTCACATAAATAAGGTGACTTTTTGTACATTCCTCTCTGTGGTAGTTTAAATGCGGTCTTTGTAGAATGAGAGGAATGTATAATATAACCTCAGAGCCCTGTGTGTTCTACGTGCCTGCCTTTCTGACTTTTTCACCGTTTGTTCATGAGCCAGTGTTACGGATACAGTTAAGTACACTCGGCCCATGTAATGCTGTTAGAGCGATGCTGCCAGAGCCGGCTGTGGTTCCCTGGAGCTCCCTCTGGCTTTCTCGCTCTGCTCTGCCGTGCCCTCCTCTCTCCCCGCCCTCTGTCTGTCTCTCTGCGGGACCATTCCCACCAGCATGCAATTCACACGTATGTACAGTTCACAATTTCCTATCTTAATCCACTCCCTCTTCTCCTGCCCTGGTTTTCTCTTTCCCTTCACAGCAGAACTTCTTTTAAAAGTTTTCTTTAGCTGCTTTCTTTGTGTCATTTCACATTTATTCCTCAGCCCATTCCAGCTGAGCCTCTGCCCCCACCAGTTTCTAAAATTGCTTTTGCCAAAGACATCATGTAATTTCCATGTACCCCATTCCAACCATTGCTTTTTTTCAATCCTCATTGCATCCTTTCACCAGCATTTTTACCCTTTAACGTCCCTTTAAAATTTTTTTCTTTTTTATTAAGGTGTAACTAACATTCACTGAAGTGCACAAATCCTGAGTGTGGAGCGTGGTGACTTTTGCATCTCTGTAACTACGCCTGCAGTATTTGACGTGATTGGATGGGTACCTCCTCCTTCGGATCCTCACTCTCTCTCCTCTTCCGCCTATGTCACTGGCTGACCCTTTGCATTCTCCCTTGCTGGCCCTTCTGCTCCTGCTCAACTTCCAAATATTGGCGTGTCCCAGGGCTTAGTTCTAAGACTCTCTTTTCCAGTTACACTCCTAGGTAATGTCATCCCATTTCATGGCTTTCAATACATCTGTATTTTGTCAGCTCCCAGATTTGTACCTCTAGCTCGAACCTCTTCTCTCAGCCTGAATCGTATTTTTGACTCCCTATTTGACATTTCTATGTGAAAGTCAAATAGGCATCTCGGACCTGACATGTTAAAATAAAGATCTTTGTTTCATCCCGTCTCCTTCTCTTCCTCCTCCCTCCCTCAGCTGCTTCTCCATAGTTGTCTCCACTCATTAAATGATTTCTCATCCACCCAGTTGCTCACACTAAAAACTTAGAGCTCATCTTGGATTCTTGTCTTCTGCATTCAGTGTGTCTGCACCTCTCCTTGATGCATGCCCCAAAATATCCTGGGTATTTCTTCACTCCATCTCCCGTGCACACCATCGTGGTCTTTTGCTTGGGCTGCTGCAACAGCCTAACTCTTCACTCAGCTTCTATTGTTGTCCCTACAGCCTGTTCTTTTTTTTTTTTTGGTGAGGAAGATCAGCCCGGAGCTAGCATCCATGCCAATCCTCCTCTCTTTGCTGAGGAAGACTGGCCCTGAGCTAACATCTATTGCCAATCCTCCTCCTTTTTTTCCCCAGAGCCCCAGTAGATAGTTGTATGTCATAGTTGCACATCCTTCTAGTTGCTGTATGTGTGACGCGGCCACAGCATGGCCGGACAAGCGGTGCGTTGGTGTGTGCCCGAGATCCAAACCCGGGCCGCCAGTAGCGGAGCACGCGCACTTAACCACTAAGCCACGGGGCCGGCCCTCTTACAGCCTGTTCTCATGCAACAGCCAGAGAGAGGACTTGCAAGTGTGAATCCGATTATGTCATTTTCCCACTAAAAGCCTTCCCTCGGAAGCCGATACTCTGAAAGACCCATGATGATCTGGACTCTGCCTGCTCCTCTTACTTCCCTCCAGCCGTGCTTGCTGTCTTCCTGTTTCTCAAAGGTACCCTTCCTGTCTGCTGTAGGACCTTTGCATTAGCTGTTTTTTTCTCCCTTGAATTTCCTTTCCCCCCTGTGTTGACCCCTCTTGTCATCCAGGTGTCAGCTCAAATGTCATCTTCCAAGTGAGGCCTTGCTATTTCTCTCCTCCTCCCCCCACAACCTAAAGAAGCCCTCCAGTCACACTATTTTCATCACAGCACTTATTTAATACCTGGGATGATCTTGTTTGTTGTCTGTTTCCTCCACAGAATTTGTCTTCGTGAGAGTAGGGACTTTGCTGTCCCGTTCACAGCTATATTCCCTGGGCCTCATACAGTGCCTGGCGCTTAGTAGCTGCACAGTAAATATTGACTCAATCTGTAAATGGCAGATAAAATGAATACTGCTGCTTGGTATAAAGCAAGTATAGTGTGACCAGTCCAATAGTGTGTCTAGAAGCCAACCTGGTGACAGCCAGCAGGGTGAGCTCCTGTGAGTTGCCAGGTGTGTAACTTGAGTGACGTTTGTTGCAGAGAGGAGCAAGTACCAATGGAGCTGGTGCAGCGGGGTGATGTCATCAAGGTTGTCCCTGGGGGAAAGTTCCCAGTGGATGGGAAAGTCCTGGAAGGCAATACTATGGCTGACGAGTCCCTCATCACAGGTGAGGTGACTTGTTTCACCTTCCCTTCGGGTGGGTGTTGGTGCAGTTGCTGGGTCACGTGACTGCTGAATGGGGCTTAGCACATGACGGTTAGTCTCTCTTCTCCACTTCTAGGAGAAGCCATGCCAGTCACTAAGAAACCCGGAAGCACAGTGATTGCTGGGTCTATAAATGCACATGGCTCTGTGCTTGTTACTGCCACCCATGTGGGCAACGACACCACTTTGGCTCAGATTGTGAAATTGGTGGAAGAGGCTCAGATGTCAAAGGTAATGATGACATTTAAAAAACAACATAGGGCCAGCTTGGTGGCATAGTGGTTAAGTTTGTGCACTCCGCTTCGGCAGCCCGGGGTTCACGGGTTCAGATCTGGGGCGCAGACCTATGCACTGCTTATCAAGCTGTGCTGTGGCGGCGTCCCATATAAAGTAGAGGAAGACAAGCACGGATGTTAGCCCAGGGCCAGTCTTCCTCAGCAAAAAGAGGAGGATTGGCAACAGATGTTAGTTCAGGGCTGATCTTCCTCACACACACACACAAATAATAAATAAAAAACAATATAACTGAGCTTCTTCATTTTAGAAATTATTCCAAGAGTTCTATAGAATCAGGCAGATTTTACTGAGTAGAGATTGATTAGTAAACATAGTTAATGAGGGAGCTAAGAATTCAGTCCTTGTCCACACTTGTGGTGTTTTATTTCTTTATAGATTGTGGTTTCTCATGGTCTCGGTGTTTTATTTTCATAGGCACCCATTCAGCAACTGGCTGACCGCTTTAGTGGATATTTTGTCCCATTTATCATCATCATTTCCACTTTGACGTTGGTGGTATGGATTATAATCGGTTTTATCGATTTTGGTGTTGTTCAGAAATACTTTCCCGTAAGTTGAATGCTTTGGGTGGTGTGGTTGTTGTGTTTTAAGTAATCTATTGCCGTTGCTATTCTTTCATGTCATAGATTCGTTGGGCTTTAATTACCCATTACATTTTATTTGCTTGCTTCACTATTGGCAGCAAAATCTTAGCAAGGGTAGAACTCTGCTTCTGCAAGTTTTTATTAAAAATGCTCTTTTCTTTCTAGTTAGATAATTTCACAGACACCAATTGGCTCTCAGTTGTAATGCATAAAACATTTACATTATGCAGTATTGTCCTTTTTTGGGGTTATGAGGCACACATCATAGAAGAGAGGTCACAGCAATTTTGATGGCATGATGATATTATTTAACAAATTTTAAGAAAAATATATTTTTTGCTATGTCCATAAATACCATCTTTAACCTTGCAGCTTCCCAAGCAATGCTAATAGCTTTTTAATAATTAAATATTTATTAAACATTATGTATGAGGCAATATACACATTTTGAGTTTAAAAAGCGGATAAAGAATACTATCTTAGGAAATACAGTTTTATCAAACTTCAAAAAAAAAGTGGGAAATACAAAAAAAGTTTTCTGCTTCAGAAATAAGAACTATATACATCAGTGATTCGCGGTTGAGAGTGATTTTGTTGCCTCATGGACATTTGGCAGTGTCTGTAGAAATTTTTGCTGGTTATGACTGAGGAGGGGGTGCTGCCGGCATCTAGTGGAGGAGGTCAGGGATGCTGCTAAACGTCCTACAATGCACAGGACAGACCCCACAACGAAGTATTTGGCCCAAATGTCAGTGACACTGACGTTGAGAAACCTCGACATACATAAAAAGCTAATGGCCCACTTAGAGTGTATTTGATAACTTCCCAGTGAGTGGAACAATGTTTTTACTTTATTTTAAAAAATATACTGGGGGCCGGCCCCGTGGCGTAGTGGTTAAGTGCATGCACTCTGCTGCTGGGGGCCTGGGTTCGGATCCCAGGGGCACACTGCACCGCTTGTCAGGCCATGCTGTGGCGGCATCCCGTATAAAGTGGAGGAAGATGGGCATGGATGTTAGCCCAGGCCAGTCTTCCTCAGCAAAAAGAGGAGGATTGGCATGGATGTTAGCTCAGGGCTGATCTTCCTCACACACACACACAAAAAAGTATACTTAGCCCAGTTTAATGTATATTTTACCTTAGAGTGATAAAATAAGAAACTACAAATATGGAAAGGATAATTTTTTTCTTTTAAAAAAATTTCTACCCATAATTAAAGGCCTGTTCATTGGGGTACACATCATTCACTCAGATGTCATTTTCTCCCTCAAATTTTCTACCTTAAATTGAAAACTGTCCACATTAAACACTTTCCGACATCTAAGGAGACCTCAGTGCTTTTAAGAGTAACCCATGACTGTTATGGCACCTGACTGCCTAAAATTTCTGCTTTTGCGGGAGAGCAGCTCATTGGCATGTGGCTGTGGGAGGACTCAGTCCTAAACAAGTTGAATATGTGGCTTTCTTCTGTTCCCTGCCTTTCCGTCTTACTTTGGCTTCTTTTGTTTTTATCTGCAATATCAGGGAGGATGCTGGCAAATGAGGTACTGCATGTTCCTTTAAGATGTTGTTGTCGCTCTGCTGTATCAAAATCATTTGTAGGGACAGTGTTCATGTTAAGTTCTAGAAGTCTACCCTATCCTATTAGAATGCCAGATGTTATTTTGACAAGAATTACTGTTTTTTTTTTAAATCACATCATCTTTATCTCTAAAAAATAGCATTATGTCTTAAACATGTCCTTCTACCTAAATCCAACTGTTTCTATGAAAATTAAGTGACCCTCATAATATATCTTATTTTAGAATCCTGTCTTTCAAAATCAAAGAATAAAGTGTAGATGGAAGCTAAAGAGATTGTGGTCTGTATCCTCGATTTAGAACACATGCTTATTACTGTAATTAAGTGAATATGGTATCTCTTGATTGCACTCCAGAAACACCAGCCATTTCGAAAAGTAAACCAAGATAACTCAAGATGTCAGAATGCAAAATAATCATACCAATAGATGCCACCAGGTAACTGGAAAGGAGACCCATACTTTGTTTTGAATTTACAAAGAAAACAATAGTGAAAAACAGAAGAAAATAAAGATGGCCCCAAGTCCCATCCCTAGAAGTAACCGTTTTTTGCACTTTGGTAAACATCTTTCAGTATTGTTGAAAGGCCATAGATAGGCGGATCATTTTGCACTAATTAAATCACAACACATGCCATTTTGTGCTTGCTTTTTTTATTCAACAGTGTTACTGATATCTTTCCACGTCAATAAGTATAGATATACATCATCATTTCAACAGTTGCGTAATACTCCATTTTGCACACCACACCCACAATTTAATTAACCAGTGGAACAATGAACTGACCAGTTGGTTGTTTCCAGTTTTTTGCCATTACAAAAAAGCACTGTGGTAAATATCCTGGTATCTTTTTACACTTGTATGATTATTACCTTAGGGTAGATTCCTTGGAGACCTATAATTTTTTAAAGCTTTCATAATGATGATAAAAATAGTAGTGATGATGTGATAGTTATAGTTTCTTAGACGCCTCTCCTATGCCAGGTGTTGTACTCTGTATATTTATAGGTTTATATGTAGATTATCTCATTTAGTCCTTACAACAACCTATGAGCTGGGTATTGTTCTCTCCATTTTGTATGTGAGGAAGCTGAGACACAGAGAGGTTAAACTAGTGCCAGAGCCAGGATATGGGCCTATGCAGTGCGATTCTAGAGTCTGCTCTTTCGCCTATCAGGGATTTTTATATGACTCTCTCCTCTCATAAGCCTTTCTCTGAGGGAAGCCTGTAGGATCAGGTTGGAAAACTGGCATGCAGAACAATGAAGTGAAGCACCAAAGCAGAGCAGAATACCACGTGTTTCCTAAAGCCCAGCTCGTCACGCCGTCTCAGGTCCCACTGCCTGGACTGAAATGTTCTGATGTGATTTGAGCTCTGTGTGACTCCTCATTTAACTCTCGACCTGCCTGTCTCTTTCCTCTTTTCAGACCCCCAACAAGCATATCTCTCAGGCAGAGGTGGTCATCCGGTTTGCGTTCCAGACGTCCATCACGGTGCTGTGCATCGCCTGCCCCTGCTCTCTGGGCTTGGCCACGCCCACGGCGGTAATGGTGGGCACCGGGGTGGCCGCCCAGAACGGCATCCTCATCAAGGGAGGCAAGCCTCTGGAGATGGCCCACAAGGTTGGCCCTACGCTGCGGTGCTCCTGGCCGTCCTCTGGGGACTTGATTTTGTAGCTGTATACTATGTGATTTATTTTGAACTTAGAAAGTCCTAGTGAAAATAGTATCTGTTTAAAATTCATGTTAAGAGGAAAACCTGAAAGAGGCCTGAGGGTCACACTGTTAATTAAATAAAACAGGAAGCCAGCACTGACTGGGAATGACAATAGCAATAGCTAACAGTTACAGAATTAAACACTTTATAAATATTAGTTGATTTAATCTTATCAACAGCTCTGAGGTGGGTGCTTATTATTCCCATTTTACACATGAGGGAACTGCAGCAGGAGGGGGCTGGGTAACTTGCCCCAAGGCCTTGCAGCTAATAAGGGGCAGAGCCAGGATTCACACCCAGGTAGTTGGGCTCCAGAGAAAAGTACCAACTCTGCGTCTGTGTGATTAGTGGAGGGGTCCTGATGGTGGGGAGTGGAGTAGTGAGCAACAGTGTTTATGCAGCATCTTCCTTTGGCCCAACATACCAATTCCTAACCTTCCATCCTTCCTTTTATTTATTTGGTATTTGTTAAGCATTTCCTATGTGTGGGTCCTGTGTCAGGCCCTGGCAGTGGTCATGGTCCTCAGCTCTCAAGGAGCTTAGAATTGAGTGGGGAGGACAGATGTGGAGTAAGTAAACCACAAGTGCTGAGAGAGAGCGTAGGATGCCATGAGGACAGTTTAACAGGGGCCCAGCTTAGACTTGTGTGTGCTAGACTGGGGGTGAGAGTGATGCGGGTGGTCAGGGAAGGAAATGTCAAGGTTCACCTGAGACCTAACAGTTGAGCAAGAGTTAGCCAGACCACAGAGGCTGGGAACAGCCTGTTCTGGCAGTGGGAACGGCCTGGGGAGGCTGTGCTGCCGTAAGATCGGAGACCATAAGCTTTTTCCCCACCATTTTATCCCCAGCTTCTTGTCCAGTGCCTGGCACGTTGAAAGCACTCATCAGTTATTCACTGAATAAATAAATGAGGAACTGAAAGAAAATCATTGAGAGAGAGAGAGAAACTGACAGGAGATGAGGCTTTTGAGGGAGAAAAGGAGGGAGAGAGGGGCCTTGAAGGGCTTTGAAGGTTTGGTAAAAGATTCAGAACTTAACCCAAAGAATGACAGGGAGCCATGGAGGAGTATGAAGCACCTGTGTGACTGGATTACACGTTGGGAAGATCATTCTGGCTGCAAAGTGAAGGATGGACTAAAAGGAAGCAAGAATTGTTGGAGGAAGACCAGTTAATAGTGTTGAGAGGCCACCACTCAGCATCAGAAACCAAAAGCTGAATCTAACCATACTTGTGGGACACAGTCTGAACAAAGCAAGCAGCTGGCCTTATATAGGGTTTGGGGGAGTGCGGACTTCAGGGGTTGATGGACTTTCAGAAGTGGGTGTGGGGGAGTGTTAGTGGTCAGCTGGCCTCTGGCCGTGAAAGCACAGGTACTGGAGTGTGGTTGCTGCCGACTGGCTGAGCCCAGACCCATGGGGAGTGGTGCAAAGCTGCCGTTGACCAAGCGGGGTGGGTCTAAAAACTGGCTCTGGTGGTTACTTGTCAAGGCCAAGGAACACTCCCTTCCTTTCTTGAACTTGAGTGTGAGAACTTTCTTCTCAGTGGGCTTTTGCACTGTGCAGGCCAGAGAAAACAATTGTTGGCTTGGCAGAGAGCAGTAGGCAGGGAGATAGGCCAACTCCCAGGGTCCTGGCTCCTGACCTAACAGGAGGAGAAGTCTGCATGGTGTTTCTGTCCAGGAAACGGTACCATGCCATCTCCCCTTACATTGGACTGAGAGTGTCTGGCTCAACCTGGTCAAGGTTAAGCCACAGTGTGGATTTTTTTTGACTGGGCAGAGAGGGAACCTATGTCTTTGCAGTGGGAGTGGTAGAACCCCAGGACTGATTGCAGAGGATTGTATTATGAAGTTATGAAGGAGCATTGTTATCTGCTTGAGGTAGTTTGAGTGAAGTTCTGCCTCAAGATTGTGTGGACTCTGAAAGTCCGTACCTTCTCTGTTTGTGGTCACTGAGATGTCGTTGTTTTGGCAGATAAAGACTGTGATGTTTGACAAAACTGGCACCATTACCCATGGGGTCCCAAAAGTCATGCGGGTCCTCCTGCTTGTGGACATGGCCACGCTGCCCCTCAGGAAGGTTCTTGCTGTGGTGGGGACTGCAGAGGCCAGCAGCGAGCACCCCTTGGGTGTGGCAGTCACCAAATACTGTAAAGAGGTATGTAGACCTTGGCTTTGCTTGTCCCTCACTCCTTCAGCCTCCTTCTCCACTCTCGCCAGCTGGGCTGGAAGCCTCCCACCTCCTGCCTCCTCACATGCCTTTTCTCCCAGCTGCCACTGGCACCTGAGTCAGCTGCCTTTGAGGAGGCCTTGGCTTGTGTGGTCTGGAAAACCACTTGGCCAGCTCCTCTGGAGCAGGTGGAGATACGGCTCACAGTAGTAGGTCCCCTGTCACATTTCCAGATCGTCAAAAAGCTGTTCAGTATTCACAGTCATTTACTGAGCATTTACTGAGCATCTGTGCTTGGGACAACGAAAACTGGTAAGATGTGAACTCTGCCCTTTGGGAGTTCAGTCCTTTGTGAGTGCTTAGTGCAAAGGGATACAAAAATGAATGGGGTATCGGGATGAGAGAGGGAGAAAGCCACTCCACTGGCACGTCTGAAATGGAGAGGAACCAGCAGAAGTGAGCCGAATGCCTGATGGGTTTGTGGCACAGTTAATGGGCAAGACTTCATCCTTTGGTCTCTCCAGATGAAAGGTCCCATTTAAGCGTTTTCTGTTTTCAATCTGAATATAGAAGCAGCAGGGTGTGCCAGAATATTGCCCTGAAAAAATTTAAACAGTCTGAGCAAATATGATCATCAGTAAACGTAGGAAGGTGACATGGATGCCTTGAAAAAAAGTTGACAACTCTTCCTGGACAGGGAATCTTCCAGAAATTTCCTTTCGTGTTTTGACTTGCGTGTAGGACCAGACAGTCCGCCATTTCTCCTCTCACCCTTCTGATGTTTCAGGAAGAACTCTGCTCACCTCAGTCAGCCTTCCTGTGCTGCTTTGTCAACCCAAATAAGAACAGCTCCTCACTTCTTTCCCCTGCCACGTCGCCCCTCCACCCCCACCCCAGGGTCTGTCGATGGGCACTTATCTCTTCTTCAAAATGGCTTTGTTACCATTTACCTATTCCATCATTTTTATGAAATTATTTGCAGCATAAAAATAATGTTTTTCCTCTCTTTGGCACCTTCAGTCTCCCCCCTTCATTTGGGGTGTTTGATGTGAATTGCCTTTCTCCTTTCTAGCCTGCAGCCTCTCCAGTATCATGAGGCAGCCACCTAAGGAGAGAGTTTAGGCTGTTTAATTTTGTTCAGTTTAATAATTACAACGTCTGTGTCAGATAAGAGAAAAAGGATTGCTGAGTCGACAGTTGATCTCTTCACCTTTCCCTGCGGTTCTGCTTCTCGTCCCTCCCTTCCCTCTTCATTCCTGGTTGCTGCTGCTCTCTCCCCTGCCCTCACCCCCGTCTTTGTCGGCCTCTCTCTCAGCTCACCTCTCCCCTCCTTCACAGGTGCTTGGAACAGAGACCCTCGGGTACTGCACGGACTTCCAGGCGGTGCCGGGCTGTGGAATCGGCTGTAAAGTCAGCAGCGTGGAAGGCATCCTGGCCCACAGCGAGCACCCGCCGAGAGAGGGGACGGCTCACCTGAACGGGGTTGGCAGCGTTCCCACAGACACAGGTATCCCTGCCCTTTGTCTCTGCTGCTCCGCCTGCCGGGGTTGGGTCGGCTGGGTCAGGTGGCCTTGAGCCAAACCACAGAGAGCACCTCGCCAGGCACGCCCCTCAGGTTCCCGACTGTGGAGAAAGGCGTCTCACAGCTGCTGTGCTGCACGCCTGCCTCCCCCAGGAAAGCCTACAGTTTCTCTCTTGTTTCTCTCTTTGGTACATCTGAATCTTGATGCTGATGGCAGACAAAGTAGTGTAGTACTTAAATTTGTAGAGATCGCTTATCTGCTCTGTAATCTTGAGTCTCCTCTTCCTTCTCCCAAGTTAGTCCTGCTTCTCATAAGCTACAAAGTAGACAGATGGGAATTTTACTTTTGTTCTTCCTAAACTGGAAACCTCGCACGTGGTAGAACTCTGATGGAATGTGTCGTATTTACAGAGCTGGCAGCAGTCAGGGAAAGCAGATGGAAATGGTCTGCCCAAGCCAAGAAGGGACACTGTGTGGAGTGACAGCTGCTTTTGAATAATGGCCTTTCTTGTTCTAAGGATACCTTGCTAGCCATCAGCGTGAGAATGTGGAAAACCCCCCAAACCAAAAAAAACCTGTCTCTAGTGTTTTCTCTTAAGTATGTTGGTAGTTAAATCTTGATTTAGATTTTATTGTTAAAAGCTGTCTACCACCTTCTAGCAATTTAAAGTCCCAGGATGACCTTTCCATTTAGCTTCCAGGGACTGGTCCATGGACACCTAACTTAGTGGCACACATAGTTAAAAGGTGACAGGTGAAAGACTCACTGGCCTTTTAGGAGGTGTAGCTTTAAAACATTTCATAGAAGTAGACTGTCCATTTGCTGATTCACTGTGGGTCATCTCTACCAGGCAGTGATGAATCTAGGCAACACTTGCTTTTGGTGCTGGACAGATAACTGTTTCTAGTCCCTGTAGAAGCAGCCCCAGCAGATAGCTCTAAACGCAAATAAGGACACTACATAATGTTTATGTTTATAACATTTTCACACATATAACTTGCACCTTTTAACACCCCATTTTAAGTAATTCCCATGTGTTCTGCACATTATACTTTTTCCCTGGTCCTTTAAGAATAGTGTTCCAAGAGGCATTTACTATAGTTATAGTTTTCCAGAACAGTTAAATGGATATTTTGCTGTTAAAAGGATTCCACAGTTTTTAGTACATTCTCACAGTGAAATTGGACTCTTTGGGAATAACCACAAACTCTTTTGAACAGATGCGGCCCCCCAGACCTTCTCTGTGCTGATTGGGAACCGCGAATGGATGAGGCGCAATGGCTTAACCATCTCCAGCGACATCAGTGACTCTATGACAGATCATGAGATGAAAGGCCAGACGGCCATCTTGGTGGCTATTGATGGTATCGCTCTGCTCACACCTTCATCTTGCTGTCTCAGAAATGAAGTTTCTTGGAGATATCAGACAAAAATAGATTGCTAGTTTTTTTTTAATCTTCCTCTCTGTTAATTTTAGTTCTGTTTTCCAGAAGGTTGTCTTGTCATTTTTTTCACTTCAGTCTCAGTCCTGAGGCCCTTTTTTACTATCTCCGTCTTCACCCCCAGAGCCAGCTCTGCTCTGGCGTCTTCTAAACTGTCTTCACCATCAGTGTTTGCTTCTGTCTTCTCATTCATCACTGCAGACAGAACAGCAATTCACTTTGCAAGAGGTATAACCACAGGGTGCCTTTAAATACTGAGATCCCTGTAACTTTTCACAGAGCTTCTCAAGAGTGCATGTATCTTAGTACTCAGATTATATCTTGGTCTTTACATCTCTTACTTTGTTAATGTTAGTTTCTGCCCGTGGAAGCAAAACTATATGCAAATAAGAAACAATAATTTATGTTGCTGTATTTTGAATGCTTCAGCCAAATATGTCCTCTTCTCCTATTCTCTCTTTTTTTTTTCCTGCTCCCACCACCGTGCCTTCTCCTAATGCCTTCTCCTAAGTCCTTGTAAACCACAGTCCCCTCAGCTCATCAAACCAGAGTGAACTCAGCTGAAGGAGCCATGTCCCTCACATACCGTTCATCCTCACTCTGCCCCATCACACCACAGTCCTAGAAGGCCTTCCTTCAGTATCTGAAGATTCACTCCAAAAAAAAAAATTCTACAGAAATGTTTTCTATAGGAAGAGACTAAAAGGAAGGATTGATTTTCTAGCTATTAGGATACTTGTGAGTTTTTAAGTAACATTTGTTCTATTTCTCATATTTTAATAGCTAATATATATTGAGTTATGAGCCAGGCATTCTGTAAAGTAATAGAAGCTCCTTGCAGAAAATTTGGAAAATTCTGAGCTATAAATAAGAAAAGGAAATCACTCATTATGCTACCCTTCAGAGAGAACCACTATTAACATTTTGATAGTCCTTCCAGACTTGTGTATGCATCTGTAAATGTATGTAATTTTTTAAAAAACAAGTCAAAACCATATGACGTTATATAATTTGGTGTTTTGTTTTGTGCATGTAACATTATATCATGAAAGCTGTTTCCAGTCCTGAAATCTTATTTGCCCTGGCGCTGCCCAGTGCTCTGCAGTATGCTGAACTGTGGGTGTCTCCTGCAGGTGTGCTCTGCGGGATGATCGCCATCGCCGATGCTGTCAAGCAGGAGGCCGCCCTGGCTGTGCACACCCTGAAGAGCATGGGTGTGGATGTGGTTCTGATCACGGGGGACAATCGGAAGACAGCCAGAGCCATTGCCACCCAGGTATGGGCCTGCGGCCAGGGGTGGGAACATCCTTCCCCTTTAAAATTATAAGTGATTTTAGACTCAGAAGCAATTTGAGGAAAAAAGTAAGCGCCAGTGCCTCTAGTGCTTAGCTTTGCTTCTGGTCTTTCCTCCTTGCTGGGTGCTTTTCTCTCCATGTGTCTGTTCTGCTCCAAGCGGAGCAGCATCCCACAGGAGACCACTGTGCTGCCACCGCAGAGATCACGTCCCTGGGACCTGGGTCCTGTAACTCATGTGGGACCGGCTGCAGCCCTGGGAAAGCAATCCCAACGATCTCTATTTCCTAGTCTTTGCAAGGGAAAAATAAACGATCATGGCTTGAGGGCTGAAATAGACAACTTTCTAGCCTTTATATTACGGGAATGTTTTGCCAGCTCAGCTCTTCTCACTCGTGTGCACCAGGCAGGTGCCTGGATCCCGGGCGTTCTCCAGCAGCGCTTGGTTCTGAGTTTGGGCCGTGAGGACAACACTGCTGTATGCCTGCCTGACTCCCCACATGGCGACGGCTCCAGTGTGAATTCCTGAAAATTACATACCCCGCCCCCCCAAATGTGTGTAAAGCTGTATGCTTTTGGAAACAAATTACTTCTTATGAGGGAAGCAGCAGTACCTCTCTGTAGGTATACCTTCCTTGCTGGACTTGTTGAGCACCCCCTTCCTGGTTCAAACTTGCTCATCCATTCAGCAAGCACTTATTAAGCACCACCCATGTGACAGACAGGCTACAGAGAGGAGTGAAGAGGGCATCTGCCCTCGTGCTCACGGTCCTATGGGGGGTGGACCAGTGACCAAGCATAAATCGAGTGCTTGGTGCTTTAGCAGAAGAGTACACGGGACACGTGGGAGCCGCTGACTTACTCCCCTGACCTGGTAGGGGCCAGGGACAGCTTCCCAGAGAGACGATGTTTGAGCCAGGAGTGGTCAGATGAAGAAGAGGGGGAGGGAGAGGGAACGGAAAGCTGACCTTTCCAGGACAGAGCAGGCAGCGTGAGCACCACCTGGGAGGTCCAGAGTGGCACTGACTTGCAGAGCACAGGGAGCTGAATGGTGCAGAGTCTAGAGGGGCCCACTGGGGCCGCGAGGTAGGGAGCCAGGGACGGGCAGAGGCCAGATGTCGGGGTCCTTGGGAGGCTGACTGAGGAGTTGAGATGTTGTCCTGAGGGAAGTGGGATCCATTGGAAGACTTTAAGTAGGAGAGTAACGTGACCAAATGGTGATTATTTTGGAGAGACCACTAGGACAGCATGTGGAGAGGAGAGGCGGGAGGCCAGGATGTGGGCAGGGCCTAAACCACTGCAGGGCCTTGGCATGGGAGCAGGGGATGCATTTGCCACGTGACCTGGGATCTGTAGGGATTGTTGGCTGGCATTATTGACTGGACTTAGGGGCTGAGTGAGGTCGGGGGAAGGATGACTCGCAGGTCACTGCTACTGTTCACTGTCCTTTGCCAACACTGGGTGTTGTATATTTATGTACATTTTGACTGCTGTTTTCCTTTCCTTTTAGGTTGGCATCAACAAAGTCTTTGCGGAGGTGCTGCCTTCTCACAAGGTGGCCAAGGTCCAGGAGCTCCAGAACAAAGGGAAGAGAGTCGCCATGGTGGGAGACGGGGTCAACGACTCCCCGGCCTTGGCGCAGGCTGACATGGGCATTGCCATCGGGACAGGCACAGATGTGGCCATTGAGGCGGCTGACGTTGTCCTCATCAGGGTGAGCGCGGCTGTCTTCTCCTCCCCTGTTGCCCAGGTTCTGGGAGCGGTGGGGGCTGTGGGACAGAGCTCCTGATTCACCACGTGTTCCTCTCCTACAGAATGATTTGCTCGACGTGGTGGCTAGCATTCACCTCTCCAAGAAGACTATCCGGAGAATACGACTCAATCTGGTGCTGGCGCTGATTTATAACCTGGTTGGGATTCCCATTGCAGCAGGTAGGGCGGCTCTCAGCGGCTCTGCCACCCTAGACTCCAGCTGCCGGTCAGAAAGGCTTCTCTCTGCCGGCCGATCCCCGCTGAACTTAGTGAGTAGCCACCTCGCTGGCTGGCTGGCCAGAGCATTGTCGAAAGAGTTGATTTTATTATGTTCTCTGCCTTATAAGTCTATAAAGGTAAACGAGGAACTGCAGAGCAGACCCAAACTGTCGTTCAGTCTGGTCCTCTCTGAAAAGCTGGCCAAGATGCTTGACTGTTTCCTTACTGTGGCCTTATCTTCTGAACCATTTATTAAGACAACAGTCTGAAAAATAATCCTTATTAACAGTTACGGGGCACCTGCTACATGCTACGCACAGGGTATGATGTTTCTGAACCTTATCTTAAAAGTTAATCCTGCCCAGGTTTTACCCTGACTCACAGGAATCATGGAAAGAGATGGATCTTTTCTGTTTTATAACTGCTCCCTCCCCCCTTGACTCTTGTGTTGCCAGAGAGGGAGAAGTTCCAGACACTTCTGCAAGGGAAGGTTCCCACATGGGCTGAGACCTGTTTTTCAACACGACTTTCCCACCTCAGGGTACCCTGTTATGCTCAGGCGGGTAGGGTGACTCACATAATGCATTAGCATGTCCACCTCAGCGTCCTGAGCCAGTCCAGCCAGGCAGGCGTACTTCCTGCCCCAGAGCTGGCTCAGGCGCTGATTCCCTCCATGTTTGTGCCTCTTCCACAGAAGGAGACGTTTGCCCCTAGGTGGACAGGGTCTCCTGGCTCTGCCCTGGGGCCTGGCTCTCATTGCCCTTTATAAAGGTGTTTTGAAGCCCTTGAGGGAAGAAAGAATGTGTAGACAGGGACTGTGGTCACCAGCAGTGTGTTGTCCAAGCACTCACACAGTCCCTGTGGTGCCGCAGGACGGCTGGCTCTCTGTACCGTCTGCTTCTTTCCCTCTGGCTCCCTGCTGTCCTGCCATTGCCCCTCTGGGTCCTTGGGATTCCCTGCTCCCCTGGAGCTCCCCCTAAAACAGGTGATGCCAACTGTGGACAGTTCTAGGAAGGTCAGGGCGGGTGGGAGACCCCAGTCCCCTTGACAGCCCCCCCACTGCTCAGGTCTGAGACAGCCTACCTCAGAGGCCTGTGGGCATGTGGTCACGACACGGCAGCAGGGGTTTCTGAGCCACCCTGAGGAGAAGAACTTCACGGTGGGCGGTAAGGGTGGGGGCCCGCTCCTTGCTGTCTCCTCTGGGCGGCAGTGTGAGTGTTGTCCTCCCCTCGGCCAGGTGTCTTCATGCCTATCGGCATCGTGCTGCAGCCATGGATGGGCTCAGCGGCCATGGCGGCCTCCTCTGTGTCTGTGGTTCTCTCGTCGCTGCAGCTCAAGTGGTGAGTCCCAGCGTGGCGGGGGCACAGCACAGGCCGTGTTTATGAGAGCCTCCTCAGGAGACCCTTTCGCTCTGCATGCACAAGGCAGATTTGGCTCACCAGTGCATCTCCTGCGCTGGGAATGGGTGTGTGCTGTGCTCAGGTTCCCAATTCGTTCACCTGAGGCTTGGACGGAAGAGACAGCCGTGAGTGGAGCCAACTGTGTGTGTAATGATTTATCAGCACCATAAGCAAATACAGTAGACCCTGGGGGTTACGTTCCAAGACCCCCAAAGGATGCCTGAAGCCTCACATAGTACTGAGCCCTATACATACTGTGTTTTTTCCTATGCGTACCTATGATTCAGTTTAACGTATAAATCAGGCACAGTAAGAGATTAACAACAACTAATGATAAAACAAAACAATTGTAACAATATACTATAATAAAAGTTACTGTAGATCTTAGCAACCTCGGCATACAATTTTTTTTCTGCTTAAGTTGAGAACTTTCATCTTTTCACCCGAAGGAAACACATTATGGCTTCCCTTTGGCATATCCAAATTGCCAGCATCTCTACTGTTGCGCTTTGGGGCCATTATTAAGTAAAATAAGAGTTACTTGAACACAAGCACTGTGATACCTTGACAGTCGATCTAATAACCAAGACGGCTACTAAGTGACTAATGGACAGGTAGCATCTACAGCATGGATGCCCTGGACAAAGGGATGATTCATATCCCGGGTGGGCTGGAGCAGGACGACTCGAGATTTCGTCATGCTACTCAGAACAGTGCGCAATTTAAAACTTCTGAATTGTTTATTTCTGGATTTTTCTATTTAACATTTTTGGACTACTATTGACTATAGGTAACAGAAATCGTGGAAAGCGAAACTGTGGATAAGGGAGGACTACAGTCACACACCACATAATGGTGTTTCAGTCAACTACAGACTGTATATACAATGGTGGTCCTATAAGATTAGTATCATATAGCCTAGGTGTGTGGTAAACTATACCTTCTAGGTTTGTGTAAGTACACTCTATGATGTTTGCACAACGATGAAATGCATTTGTCAGAAAGTATCCCCGTCATTAAGCGATGCATGGCTGTGCCATAATTTACCTCTTAACAGTCATTACATGCTGGGCCGTTCTAGTTATTCTGCTCAAGGGCTGTTTATGTAAATATATAGACATGGGATCTCTGTATATAATTTGTCCTTTTTCAAAAAAGATGTTTATTTATTCATGCTTTCATGTAACAAAGGTTAATGATAGACTACTATGTGCCAGGCATTTGGATAGGAAGTTTCTAAATCAGGCAAACTTTACCTGAACTCTAGGAGTTTAATATCCTTTCTTTTAAAAACCATGAGGTTTTGATACTACGTGTTATTGAAAGACTTGGGTGAGAGGCCTTCACTAGGCTTAAAAAAAAAAAAGACAGCTTGTGTGACCAGAATGGCTCAAATGCTGTTGAATTCTTGCTTTCCAGCTATAAGAAGCCCGATATGGAGAGGTACGAGGCCCAGGCCCAGGGCCGCATGAAGCCCCTGACCGCATCTCAGGTCAGTGTGCACATCGGCATGGATGACCGGCGGCGGGACCCCCCCAGAGCCACACTCTGGGACCAGGTCAGCTACGTCAGCCAGGTGTCTCTGTCCTCCCTGAAGTCCGACAAGCTGTCTCGGCACAACACTTCGGCCAACAATGGTGGAGACAAGTGGTCTCTGCTCCTGAATGACAGGGATGAGGAGCAATACATCTGAAAGCTCCAGGCAGGTGCAGACCCAGGGGCCCATCTCCTGGTTGAGCAGCCGGCCTGGCCCTCCCTGTGGATGAGGCTTGAACCGAACAAGTGCAGCACCAGCCGCCAGGTGGACAAAGCCCCCCTCCAGCCTTGGGGACTTCCACTCCCTGGACATTCCTGGTCATTCCTCCCTGCAACACATGGCCTTGTCCAGATGTGGCTCCTGGGCAGGACCACTTCACCTGAATCCCACTGGCCCAGGGACCAGGCATCCTGGCCTCAGCATGCTACTGGCGTGGGCTTATCGGAAGCCTTGCTGGATTCCAGAAGAGGAAAGGACAGTTAGCCTCCCTTACAGACCTCTGCTTTAGTATTTGGGATGACTACTTGTGAAATGAGGAAAATCTCATCAGGACCAAAAAGTCAGCTGGGCCTTTCCATAGAACTCATTAAAAACCTCAGTGTTGGGCTCTTTTTGACGATGCCCATGAGCATCACGTGGCTGAGACTGCAGTTTACCTCAAGTGCACCTGTTGTTTTCTGCTGGCACAATTTCTTTTCTGTTCTTGACACTGGGGATCCCCCCGCATCACCTCTGAGGGCAGGACTGGCGTCCTGGTGGTCCTGCTGCTGCTGCTGTCTGGCGCTTCTCCAAGCACCCTCGTGTGTGCCCTTCTGCCTGAATCTGCTCCCTCGCACGCCCAGCCAGAGAGCTTGCCAGGCTTCTCTTTAAGTCGAGGAGAGTTCTTTCTTGCTCACGAGCCCCTTCTCTGTGGAGCCGTGGCTCCTCCCTCCACAGAGTAGAGTGATGTTGCTGGCTGTCACTGCTGCCCAACTGGAGTGAAGGTCTCAGAGCCTGAGACCTGCCAGTCCAAAATCCGATTTCCTGTGGGGTCCAGGTGCTGGGGACTTAGGGGGCCCCTGGTGCTTGGCACAGGTGTCTCTTGAGGGAGGCGTGTGCATGCAGGAACCACCTCCCCAGCTCCAAGAGCTTCGACTACATGGTCTGCTGTGTGACTGTCACCTCATGGAGTCCAATAAGAATTCATGTCAGTGGTGCCCCTGGGGTTGTGCAGCTCTGAGGAAACAGTGGTACCTGAATAAGAGGAAATCACAGTTCTCCTCCACAAACTTCTTCCGCACGCTGAGTTGGCACCTTAGGAAAAGGGTGCCCACAGCCTGCCAAAGGGACAGTCTATTTCTCACTCTCAGTGGCTCTTTGTGATCACGTGACATCGGAGGGGCAGGAATGGGGCTGGTTTAGGCACTGAAGTGGGTGGTGATTGACAGAACCATGTGGGAGTAGACTGGTAGAGTCAGAGTAAATTCTAAGGTGGAGCCCTCATCACACACACAAAATAATTTTAGTTATTTATTGAGTGTCAGTTATTTTCCAGGGACAGTGTAAGCACTTTTTATAGTTTACCTCTAATCTTCCCACCAAACCAGCAAAGTAGGTATTCTTGTCTACATTTTACAGGTGGGGAAACAGGCTCAGAGAGGCAAAGTATCCTGCCTAGGATCACACAGCCGGTACACATGCCAGAACAGGGATCCAAATCCATGTGTGTTGGCTCTGAAGTCTCCTCTCTGCTGCCTCCTTGACTATCAGTTTGCTTGATAAGAATAACCAAGAAGCAGGCCCTTGCTCCTGGAAGAACAAATCTGCCAGGTGATGTATTCATTGTATCAGCTCGGGCGGGAGGCATGATCACAAATCATCTCACCTGCCCCTTGGGTGGTTCATTTCCAATTTTGCTTATAATTTAGTTTTTGCTGGGTCTTATCCTCTAAAATCCAAGTGCAGGGTTTTGTTGTGTTTTTATTGTTTTCAGTCTTCCTTCCCCTCCCTAGCCCCTCCTGCTGTGTGTCCTCAATTGTGTCTTCTCTGTTCTTGGCTGTGCTCGGGGAATGTTCCTTGTTTTCTGACTAGGCTAATCATTGTCTAAAGAATCTAATTGTATTGATTTTTCAAAAAGCTTTTAAGACCATAAACATCATGTCTATATGGACATGAAAATATTTATATAATTGTACAGAAAATAACCTTTTAGATGTTGAAAGTGTAAGAAATTATTTAGGGGGGTTAGATAAGAACAATTCCTACTTCAAAAACTTTCCATGCTGTATTAGAATAAAGTTTCTTTTCAATCATCTAACAATCTGCCTGTGGCTGGCTCTGTCTGTGAGGGAGAAGTGTGATCAGGGCCAGTGCAGCGAGGTCTTCAGTGAGAACTTCCAGGCGCTGGCTTTGCTCTGTCTTTTTGGGGGGCGGAGAAGGATGGGGTTTTAACAGCGGAGGCTGTGAGGGTGGCCAGAGCCCTTTGATCTGCCGTCCCCAGCACCGTGTGAGCCTCTTTCCCGAATGCCTGCCTCAGAGGTATGTGGGGTGAACTCCGAAGGGCAGCCCCTGTCGAGGCAGCCGTCCCACTGGGCCAGACACGTGCCTGGATTACCCCTTACATGCACTTCTCTGGTTGATGCCCTTCTGTGATTGTCTGCTAAAGGCTGTTCTCAAACACACACATTTTAATCGGGAAGACTTGTTTTGTGTTCCTTGACCCTGAGGGAGTGGGGCAGGGAGAGTAGTGGAAAAGTCTGGACCGAGAGGCTCTGTGGGAAAGGCTCTGTGGGCATCCTGGGGTGAGGGGGGCCCTAAGTGAGCTACACATGAAGGTGAGGTGACAGAGTAATGTATCATCCAAACCAGGGCACTTTGAAGAGTGAGAGGAGGTGCTGTTAATAATTATGCCAGGACAACTGGCCTAAACCGGGACCACCCAGGCAAGCTGGGACCTCTGGTCGCCTCCCTTAAAAGGGAAATGGATGGGGCTGGCCCGGTGGCAAAGTGGTTAAGTTCGCACACTTCACTTCGGCTGCCTGGGGTTCATAAGTTCGAATCCAGGGTGCAGTCCTATGCACCTCTCATCAAACCATGCTGTGGCGGCATCCCACATGCAAAATAGAGGAAGAGTGGCAACAGATGTTAGCTTAGGGCCGCTCTTCCTCACCAGAAAAGCAAAAGGGAAATGGACGTTGTGAAGTCGTCACTGACACAACTGTCTCTGTAGAACTTGGCCCTAATTGTAGGTTCCACAGGCATGCTGGTGACACGCTCCTGTATCACATTTCGAGGTTTTTTCCCCCTGTCACATCCTGATACAAACGCTTCCCTGTAGAATTATCTTGTGGTGCAGTGTGAGCACATAGCTGGAGGTCAGTCCCGGGTTTGTAGCATGTGCTGGCGCACTGTGGTGCCCTCCCACCCACCCTGTAGGACTTCACACCAGGCGTGCCTGACTACTTTCTGGATGCCCATGTATGGGAATTTCGTGTTGTATGCGTGTCCCATTGTGGAAAGGGAGGGTTGATACCACTTCAGGAAAGGATTCCATTTCATTAGAAAATAGATGCTTTCTAAAACTTGAGCAAAATTCCCTGATATGATTCCACATGCACCAGAATAAATCATAACATCTGTCCATTCCTGGTAAGTTTTCAGTCTTTAACACCTTAGCGAAGAATTGTGATGGTATCACCTTTTCCATAAATAAATGTAATAATTCTAGTTTTTTTTAAAAAATGGCATCTGGAAATTTACGTGTCAAAAAATAGATTCCCCAAATTGTTCTACTAGTTTACTAAGGAACCAAGAATAATAAAAGTGATCTTTATTTTAAGAAATCAAGTATAGTCCAAAATCAGTCAATCAAACAGGTTAATTAGAAAAAGATTATTTCAAATACAGAAGGATTTTTTTTTTGCTTTAAAAAATTCGTCAATATTTCAATAGATAGTTTCCCTAATGCATATAAGATTCCTCTTGAGTTAGAAGAGTTTTATTTGCATACAACTTTTTCTTAGCTACATCTTTTGTTAAAGAAAAAAAAAAAAAGACAGGAAATGCATATACAAAGAAATGCTTTACCCAGCCGCTCGGGCTGGCTCTCAGTTTCCCTTTTCATGTTACCCTGCTGTGTGGGAAAGCTGATTTGTGTTGGAAAGTAGTGTGGAGCTGGTAGGAATGAAAACACTCTGCTTTCTTCATTTTCAAACCCAACTTGGTCAGGGGCATGAACACCATTGTTCGGGTTCGTTCCAGAGGGAGCTGTCTACTTGTCTGCTCTTTTCCTTTGTGTGAAGACAATGACAAGGGTTGAAATTACAGGATAGAATATGAGAATGTTTTAAATAATGCTGTGAAATCCCAGACTCTCCTTTATTCTATTCAAAAAGATGAATAAACATGTAAAAGCATCCAAGGGCTAAGATGAAAACAAGAATTGATGGAAATTTGACATTTTTTTCCTTTGAAAAGGAAATGGCTGTTATTTCTTCTTAATAGAAACATAGTAATTACTTATAGCAGAAATTAAGCATATAGAAATATATAAGGGGAGAAGGCTGCCATAATACCCCTAACCCAGCCCCCCAAAGTAAGCCCCACAAACATGATTTCATGGAGGGGTGGCCTTTGTAGGTGGATTGCATTGGGACCCTGAGGGAGCAAAGCTTGCCTGCCCATGGGTAACGCAACTCCCTGACCAAATTGAGAGGTGCTGTAGTGGACCCCGCGATGGACCTGTTGTAAACTAACAGATGCCCAGGTCCTGGAAAGGTCAAGTGACAGACGATGTTGAAGTACAATGAGGCTGCCATGTGCTGGGTGCCAAGGTAGGTGCTGTCACTCTTGTTTGGCTGGTCCTCACATTGGCCTCAAGAGCTATTTGCATCACTGTCCTGTGTGCACAGATGGGGGAACCCAGCTCAGGGGAATTGAGCTGACTGTCCAGGAGACAGAGCAGGGGGCAGGTGTTCAAGCCCACCTGGCTCTGGCCGCAAAGCCCCCGCTCCATTGTGCCCCTCTGGGCTTGCCCCTCCTCCCTGCAGAGGTGATGCCAGGCACTCCTGAGCAGGAGAAACGGGGCTTCCTCTGCACCCCTTGGTACCGTGCTTGGGGCAAAAGAAGTGTCCTTTGGCAGGACACTGTGATTTATCTCAAGAGCTACCAGATGTCTCTCTGACCAAAACAACCTCCCAGTCTGTAGCTAGAACCCAGATTCTCTTGATCATTTTTTGATGCATCTGGAAATTTAAATAAACATCATCACGAAAATGTGT